TTTCTGTAGGGACCATACCCAGGAGGAGGAGGCCTCCTCCCGTGCTGTTGCTGCTGCTGCTGCTGCTGCTTCCCTCTTGCTGTCTTGCTGCTGCTGCTGCCGTGCTGCAGCATCTGCTGCTGCCAGTGCGGTGTATGCGCTCACAGTCCCCCAGCAGCTGCAGAAACCCTGGGGCTGCTGCAGCTTCACACGCAAAAACTTGCTGCGCTGCTGCTGTTGCTGCTGCTGCTGCTGTTGCTGTTGCTGCTGCTGCTGCTGCTGCTGCTGCTGTGGGTTGCGGACTCTGATGAGTTCTACCAAAAGCCTTTTGCGGCACTGGGGGCACTCCTTCACAAACTCGCGCAGCACCTGCTGCTGCTGCTGCTGCTGCTGCTGCTGCAGGTTGATCTCGCGGTCTGCGAGTGCGCTGCAGAGGCAGGCTCTGCTGCTGCTACTGCTGCTGCTGCTGCTGCAGTGATGCACCAGCCTGTTGCTGCTGCAGGTGCTAAGAACACCGCAGCAGCAAGACTGTACAGGCCAGCGGCTCAACCTGCTGCTGCTGCAATTGCTGCTGTTGCTGCTCATGCTGCTGCTAGCCTCTACAACTCCCACTGAATGACAGCAGCAGCAGTTGCTGCTGCTGCTGCTGCTGCAGCAAATAGTTGTAGCCGGGCTGCAGCACCTCTTGCAGCGCAGCAGTTGCTGCTGCTGCTGCTGCTGCTGCTCGGGATCCAGGCAGCATGCAGAGTCCCTCCTGCAGCAGCATCTGCAGCAGCTATCCTGCTGCTGCAGCAGCAGCACATCATCACTTGGCGGCGTAGCAACGCAGCAGCAAGTTGCTGCGCTGGTGCTGCTGCAGGGGCTGCCCCAAGAGGAGGCCTCCCATAGATTATTCAGCAAAGACAAAGTCTCTTGTTGCTGCTGCTCCTGCTGCTGTTCCTGCTGCAGCCGCTGCTGCTCCTGCTGCTGCTGCTGCTGCTGTTCCTTACTGTGCCGCAACAAACGCCCGCGCTGCTGCACTTGCTGCTCTAGTGGCTGCAGCAAAAGCAGCGAAGATGGGGAAATGCTGTTGTTGCTGCTGTTGTTGCTGCTGCTGCTGCTGTAGCTGCTGCTGCTGCCGCGTCGCCCCGCCGCGAGGCAGCCGTCTCCCGTTCTGCTGTCGCTGCTGCAGCAGCTGCTGCTGCAGTCTGAACGCATGCTGGTAGCGCATTCTGCTGCTGCTGCAGCTGCTGCTGCTGCCGCTGCAAACCGCTGCTCATTCTCCTGCTGCAGTTCCTGTAGCCGCAGGCGCAGCCTCTGCTCCTCGGAGCGGAGTCGCTGCTGCTGCTGCTGCAGCAAGAGCTGCTGCTGCTGCAGCAGCGGCTGCTGATCCTGGTGCAGCACGAGTGGCTGCAGCAGCTGCTGCTGAAACAAGAGCGGCTGCTGCTGCAGGAGGAGCGGATGCTGCTGTTGCTGCAGCAGGAACGCCTGCTGTTGCTGCTGCTGCTGCTGCTCGTGCTGCAAGGCAGCTCCGTCCTGTACCTGAAATGTTTCTCGCCAGATATACTGCTGTTGCTGCTGCTGCTGACCGTCCTGTTGCTGCGATGCATGCTGGGGTTGTAGACAGCCTTCTGCATCAAAGCTGCTGCTGCTGCTGCTGCTGCTGCAGTGAGCTGAAGCAGCAGAGGCTGCAGCAGCAGCAGCAGGTACCTGTCGTCGTGGGTTCGATGCAGGTGTTTCTGCATCGGTAGACAAAGTTAGCAAGTCCTCTGCTGCAGCAGATGCATCTGTTGCTGCTGCTGCTGTTTCTGCAGCGGCAGCAGCTGCTGCTGCTGCGGCTGCTGCTACGGGTAGGGCTGGTGGTTCCAACGGTGGCGAAGTTGGT